ACCAGGAAGAAAATATGAACAGACCAATCACAAGCACTGAAATTGAAACTGTGATTAAAAATCTTCCAACAGACAAAAGCCCAGGACCAGATGGCTTCACAGGCGAATTCTATCAAAAATTTAGAGAAGAGCTAACACCTACCCTTCTCAACCTCTTCAAAAATATAGCAGAGGGAGGAACACTCCCAATCTCATTCTACTAGGCCACCATCACCCTGATACCAAAACCAGACAAAGATGTCACAAAGAAAGAAAACTACAGGCCAATATCACTGAAGAACATAGATGCAAAATTCCTCAACAAAATACTAGCAAACAGAATCCAACAGCATATTAAAAGGATCATACACCATGATCAAGTGGGGTTTATCCCACGAATGCAAGGATTCTTCAATATACGCAAATCAATCAATGTGATACACCATATTAACAAATTGAAGGAGAAAAACCATATGATCATCTCAGTAGATGCAGAGAAAGCTTTCGACAAAATTCAACACCCATTTATGATAAAAACCCTACAGAAAGTAGGCATAGAGGGAACTTACCTCAACATAATAAAGGCCATATATGACAAACCCACAGCTGACAATGTCCTCAATGGTGAAAAACTGACATCATTTCCAGTAAGTTCAGGAACAAGACAAGGTTGCCCACTCTCATCACTCTTATTCAACATAGTTTTGGAAGTTTTACCCACAGCAATCATAGAAGAAAAAGAAATAAAAGGAATCCAAAATGGAAAAGAAGAAGTAAAGCTGTCACTGTTTGCAGATGACATGATACTATACATAGAGAATCCTAAATAAGCTACCAGAAAACTACTAGAGCCAATCAATGAATTTGGTAAAGTAGCAGGATACAAAATTAATGCAAAGAAATCTTCTGCATTCCTATATACTAATGATGAAAAATCTGAAAGTGAAATCAAGAAAACTCTCCCATTTACCATTGCAACAAAAAGAATAAAATACCTATGAATAAACCTACCTAAGGAGACAAAAGACCTGTATGCAGAAAATTATAAGACACTGATGAAAGAAATTAAAGATGATATAAATAGAGAGATATACCATGTTCTTGGATTGGAAGAATCAACATTGTGAAAATGACTCTACTACCCAAAGCAATCTACAGATTCAATGCATCCCTATCAAACTACCACTGGCATTTTTCACAGAACTAGAACAAAAAATTTCACAATTTGTATGGAAACACAAAAGACCCCGAAGAGCCAAAGCAATCTTGAGAGAGAAAAACGGAGCTGGAGAAATCAGGCTCCCTAACTACAGACTATACTACAAAGCTACAATGATCCAGACAGTATGGTACTGGCACAAAAACAGAAATATAGATTAATGGAACAGGATAGAAAGCCCAGAAATAAACCCACACATATATGGTCACCTTACTTTTGATAAAGGAGGGAAGAATATACAATGGAGAAAAGACAGCCTCTTCAGTAAGTGGTGCTGGGAAAACTGGACACCTACATGCAAAAGAATGAAATTAGAACACTCCCTAACACCATACACAAAAATAAACTCAAAATGGCTTAAAGGGCTTCCCTGGTGGCGCAGTGGTTGAGAGTTCGCCTGCCGATGCAGGGGTCACGGGTTCGTGCCCCGGTCTGGGAAGATCCCACATGCTGTGGAGTGGCTGCGCCTGTGAGCCACGGCCGCTGAGTCTGCGCGTCCGGAGCCTGGGCTCCGCAACAGGAGAGGCCACAGCAGTGAGAGGCCCGCGTACCATGAAAAAAAAAAATGGATTAAAGTCCTAAATGTAAGGCCAGACACTATCAAACTCTTAAAGGAAAACATAGGCAGAACACTCTATCACACAAATCACAGCAAGATCCTTTTTGACCCACTTCTTAGAGAAATGGAAATAAAAACAAAAAAAAAAACAAATGGGACATAATGAAACTTCAAAGCTTTTGCACAGCAAAGGAAACCATAAACAAGACGAGAAGACAACCCTCAGAATGGGAGAAAATATTTGCAAATGAAGCAACTGACAAAGGATTAATCTCCAAAATTTACAAGCAGCTCATGCAGCTCAATATCATAAAAACAAACAACCCAATCCAAAAATGGGCAGAAGACCTAAATAGACATTTCTCCAAAGCAGATACACAGATTGCCAACAAACACATGAAAGAATGCTCAACATCATTAATCATTAGAGAAATGCAAATCAAAACTACAATGAGGTATCATCGCACACCGGTCAGAATGGCCATCATCACAACATCTACAAACAATAAATGCTGGAGAGGGTGTGGAGAAAAGGGAACCCTCTTGCACTGTTGGTGGGAATGTAAATTGGTACAGCCACTATGGAGAACAATATGGAGGTTTCTTAAAAAAACTAAAAATAGAACTACCATACCACCCAGCAATCCCACTACTGGGCATATACCCTGAGAAAACCATAATTCAAAAAGAGTCATGTACCACAATGTTCACTGCAGCTCTATTTACAACAGCCAGGACACGGAAGCAACCTAAGTGTCCATCGACAGATGAATGGATAAAGAAGATGTGGCACATATATACAATGGAATATTACTCATCCATAAAAAGAAGTGAAACTGAGTTATTTGTAGTGAGGTGGATGGACCTAGAGTCTGTCATACAGAGTGAAGTAAGTCAGAAAGAGAAAAATACCGTATGCTAACAAATATATATGGAATCTAAAATAAATAAATAAATAAAAGGTCATGAAGAACCTAGGGGCAAGACGGGAATAAAGACGCAGATCTACTAGAGAATGGGCTTGAGGACACGGGGAGGAGGAAGGGTAAGTTGGGACTAAGTGAAAGAGTGGCATGGACATATATACACTACCAAATGTAAAATAGATAGCTAGTGGGAAGCAGCTGCATAGCACAGGGAGATCAGCTCGGTGCTTTGTGACCACCTAGAGGGGTGGGATAGGGAGGGTGGGAGGGAGAGAGACCCAAGAGGGAAGTGATATGGAGATATATGTGTAACTGATTCACTTTGTTATAAAGCGAAACTAAGACACAATTGTAAAGCAATTATACTCCAATAAAGGTGTTACCAAAAAAAAAAAGATGAAAGGGTCGTTTCAATTGGATATAACCTCAGCACCACCTCCCATATACTTGATGTTCTTGGACAGCTCCGGACAGACTTGACAAAGTGGGCATCCTGACGCCCAGTTAGATTCTAATAGTCTTACTGTATTGTCTCGTCTGCAATTTTCTGTTAGTGTTCTGGTACGGATGACTCTGGAATTCAGAAACCTGGGGGTGGAAATGAGATGTCCAGGAAAGAAGATTTCCCTATGCTGTTTCTGGGTCTTGCTCTCCAAAGTACGTTCGTAGGTCTTTACTGCCTCCTCTCAGCTGAGCACAGCAAGACGGTTCTAACGCCAAGTCAAGAAGTTCCCCGTATATCCTTAGCCGACAACTTAAGTCAGAAATATTGCAATGGACCACATCTTTATCCATTCCTCTGTTGATGGACATTTAGATTGCTTCCATGTCCTAATGAGAACCTACTGTATAGCACAGGGAACTCTACTCAATGCTCTGTGGTGACCTAAATGGGAAGGAAATCCAAAAAGGAGGGGATATATATGTATACGTATAGCTGATTCATTTTGCTGTACAGCAGAAACTAACACAACACTGTAAAGCAACTATACTCCAATAAAAATTTTTTTAAAAAGAAATACGGCTAGATAAAACCCTGTGCCTGGCTCACTGCAGGTGTGGTCTCCCCAGGGATGAAGCACGCATTGAGCTGGCCTCTTCCCAAGACTCTGCAGGTTAGAGAGCAAGACCCCCAAGGAAAGGGCCCATCTGTGGGATACATAAGACTGGATCTCCAGGATGCCCTGACTTATTTGATCCTCACCCTCACCACTTCAGACCACGAAGGCAGGAGTTTCTGCCTCATAGCCAACACATCTCATGGAATCAAAATCAGAAAGATCAAGAGAATTCCAGAAGCATAACTTATTTCCTGAATAAACATAAAAACCTACCCTTACTCCCGTATGGCACGGGACACAAACTTCCTCAATTACTTAGGGTCCTAGACATAACTAAACTCACCTTTAGTGAATACAGGTACCTCATCAGATGGGTGATATAATTACTAAGAGGCAGGAAAGAGAATCTGGCAACAAGAGAGAGGAGGTGATTGGGAATGGGCTTTAAATTCTTGGTTTTAAATTTATCACAGAAGAGTGGTCAAGATCATAAAGGTAAAGGATAGAGAAGAGAAAAAAATGGGGCCTGGATTTTGGAAGGTCTTGTGTGAGAGACCAGTGATGCTGAGTTATAATCCTCTGTAGCCAGCAACACGCAGGGATAGAGGAACAGGGGGAAAACCTACCCTTCCTTCTGATAAAATTCCCCAGGATCTTAAAAGGACTTGTGAAAGGAAGCAGATTAACTTTTAAGTTCAAACTTGGAGACCAAAAATAAGTCAACCTCGCCTACCCTTTGGGACCTGTAACATTACACCCCATAATCTGAGATCTATGGTAAATCGTGGGAAGGTAAGAACACACTGGTGTGAGTTCTAGGTAACAAATAGGAGATCACTCAGTCATTCAACAAATATGGATTGAGCACCTACTGTGTACCAGTGCCAACCCGACCTCAGATCCTGTGCTCTTGGTGTGGCTTTGGGCACAGAAATGTTCTTGAGGAGACAGACAGGAGACAGGACAAAACTGCTGACCTCATGGTTTTGTCAGCAGCAGGCCAGTTCATGTTCATTCATGTCTGATGCAAACAAAAGTCAGACTAAAGGGGTTTCCTGCTGAACCTGGCAGTATCTGTGCATCTTAGCAAGAATTTGGCTGGGGCATAACTCGAACAGAGAAGGGAGAACTCCGACGTAGGCCAGGCTGATCTACTTTGGGTGGACCCGCCAGTCTCAATGCACACACGTGTTTCTCTGCAAGGGAGGGTGTTACCATTCAGACGGTGTGTCCTGGGAGCATGAGACAGCACATACCTGGGTGGGCAGGGTTCCGTGTTACAAGCCTGACTCATTGCTGGAGGACGGTGGACCATATCACACAAGGAGTCGTTGACCGTCTGCTGGGTCTGGATGTGTAAGCACACTGCAATGGCTTCTTGATAGCCTGGAGGTTGGAAAGAGAAAAAGTGCAAATGACTTAGAATAACTCATTGTGGGGAAAAAAGAAAACAGGGTCTTGAGACTTCTCGTTCTTAAGCTACTGCCCTTTTGACCATATTACGTGGCTGCAGGCTGCATTTCAGGGTACACGTGGAGGAAACGACTTTGCATTTTGCAAAGTCTCCCAGTCTTTGATATTCTCTCCATCACCTTTTAAACTCAGTCCCTCTACTGTCCCTCCCCCAAATATACTCACTTTAAGACATTAAGGAGCATCCCGACTCCCCATCCACCTTCAGACTGACCTGCATTCCAAATATACTCAAAGCTAGGAGTTCCCTCAAATGAATCATCAAAGTGTTCCTTCCAAACATATACAATAATTTCCCTAAGAGGAATTTTCATATCAGCTCCTAAAGAATAACATTTGCTTTATATCATTGAATATGTGCTAAATTTGGTGTATAACCTTATTAAAATTTTCATTAGAGTTGGAGTTCCTGTTCACTAAATACTATCATTAGTAATATTTCTATTACTAGCAAAAACAACAGCAATGCCTCCCATTGGGAAAGTGATTTGCAGTGTATGAAGTGCTTTCAAATACACTATTTGAGCCCACCATAATCTTGTGAGGTCAAAAGAATGGTATCATTATCTCCATTTTATTAATGTAATCATAAGGAAACAGTTGAGAGAGAAATGAAGACCGCAAAAGAGTGGTAGATTCAAAACTGAAAATCAGATTTCCTGCTTCCGAATTCAGTGGTCTTTCTTTTGTACCCGAGGGATTCCAAAATGCAATACAGCCGACCAGCTTCCCTGTTCAAATACGAACTTTCACAGGCACATTTTTCCTTTGAGGCTAGACAGGTCTGTCTGACCCCAAAGCCCATGTCTCAACCACTCTTCTTTTTTTGTTGAGACAAAAAAAAAATTATTGGAAAATCAGAACTGAACAAAATATAAATGAAACTTTTGATGAAAAAAATCAAATGAAAATTGTAATAGCGACTGACTATGCTATTTGAAATACGCAAATGTATTCCGTTTCATGAAAAAATGTGTGTTCCATTATGTTATAAGATTGTGGTTCTTTTTCCAAATGCCATGTTTCAATTCAACCATTTTACAATATTTCGCAGAATGCAGTACAGGCCAAAAGTATATATAAAATATGTATTTGAGATGTTCAGTTCTTTTCACTAAATTTTCTTTTGCTTTCTTCGGTTGTAATCTTATGCTCCCATCCATGGCAGGATGCAGTCTTAAATCTCCATGCATCTTCCATGAACCTTTTTCTTTTTTTAAATAAACAGTGGCTAACCTGAAATACAAGGAGTCACTGCTACAACATCACACCTTGGGTTCTCAACAGCAGATGTCAAACTTTCTTAGTGACTTTACAGATGTTCATTTTCTAGCAGGTTTCATTTCTTTTTAATCTGAGAAAAATTCAGTTATCTTTCACATATATTTTAATTTGTAATCAAAATTATTTAGAAACTACACTTAGAGACTATTTTGAAATGTTTTCTGGAGATTGAGGGGGTGAGTCTGAAAGCACCAAAGTTATCTCATTTTAACCATTTTGATGGAATTTCATAACATTTGTGACAAATCTTTGGGTCTTAAAGCAACTTTACTCAAAAAATATAAAAGTGTAATAGGCGATTTAGGATACTTATTGAGGTAGAATGCATTTTCCAAAGACGGCCACGAGAATATGTTCCTTCCCACGTACTGGGCCTACAATATGACTTCACCACTTTTCACTTCAAGAGGACTGAGTAAACCTTTATCCTCAAAAGTAAAAATTATAAAAATAAGTTTACTTCATCTTATACTTAAAATGTGGATAGTAATCGCAAATATGCATTTAGAAGTCATAAAATAAATCAAGTGTTGAAATTTCGATGTAATTTTTCTAATAAATTCCTTTGGTAGCATGAGGCAACATCCTTCACTTCACATTTGACTTCTACAATGTCATATTAAGAGGGTTGTTTTTTCTTTGGCAAAAAAATATCCAAAGCCTACATCAAGAAATGAATTCATAATTAAAGGGTAAAAACACAGACTCTATGATGGGAAGCAGAGCCAATAAATGAGCTAATACATTCCCTTTTGTTGGTTTAAGGTTAGTTTGAGTTGGATTTCTTGCAAACAAATCTTGACTAATTCAACATGCCAAGTAACGTCACACAGACACACACACACACACCCAGTAAAAAATACTTGGACCAATAAAAAAATCTATAGTCAGAACCTTTAAGATGACACCCACTATTTAACATATCAAATTATTTTTCAAAGTGGGAAAATGATTTGAATAAGAAAATTACGTTGATAAAATACCAAATAGCCTTGGCCCTTAGAAACAAACGTAATATGCTCTTTTTAAGCACCAGTGGAACATTAACAAAAATTGATCCTATATGAGCCTATAAAGAAAACTGCACTAAATTACACAAGCCAGAAATTATGCAAGTAACATTCTTGACCATAATAGAGTCCAACTATAAATGAATAATAAACAATTAACCCACCCCCCAATCCAAACATTAGAATTTTTTAAAAGTCATTTCCTATAAAACTCCTAGGTCAAAAAGAGTGACTAGGTTACACATTATTTGTGACAAGAAAAAAAGAGAAGAGGAAGCCTTAAAGCAACTTGAGACTAGATGAACATCTCTTGATGATGGTTTTAATATCATGAAATAGATGACTTTTTTCCAAGAAAATCTAAATTATGAAATTCACTTGAAAATTAAGACCTTGTATATAACAATAAGCAGGGGGGAAACTTGAAAATGATGTTAATGATCCAGCCTCATGCTCCCCCCTCAATCCTGCCCCCAAGAGGGAAAAGCAAGAACTGAATTTAGACAGTTATAGACACAAATTCTTCCAAACTTTTAAAACACATAGCTTCTATGATATGAACTATTTAAGATTATTAAAAGGTATGGAAAACTCCAAGTCATCTCACAAAACTAGTATAAAACTGATGATAAAAATCTATAAAAGAAAAAAAATCCAGATCTGCTTCATAGAGTGTTGCCTTATACAATGCTATATGACAGATGCAAGCCTAGGGCCATATTGAAAAGAACAGTTAGCATAGGTTCCTCCTTCTGCTGATTAGCCAGTATGATAGAATAACTACTAATATAAGCTCCCAGGTAATGAAAAAAAGTAGAACCATAATATGGTATGGACCCAGAGGAGTGCCATTTTGGTATGAAAATGCAAGTTTTATAGCACTCCAAATAGGTGAGTTCTTTTTAGGAGCCAGATGAGAAGACAGCTGGTAAAAATTAAGGACTGTTGAAAGCCATTTGGCCTTATGAAGGGCATCATAAACATCACTGGAGCCTGAAAGGAAGTGACCAATTATATCAAGAGTAGCTGGAAGAAACTACAGCTAGAGGCCTGTTATGATTTGAAGGGATTTGAAGAGAACAAAACGGCTATTGCTGATGTACCATGTCGGGAACACATCTCCATAGGAAGTATGCTAAAATGAGCCCATAGTGGGCCAAATCAGCTTGCAGTCCTACTTTCCCATTTGCAGGAAGGCATCTTGTACTCCACCACGCTCAACAGATGATACCTACGTGCATCAATATCATTCATACATGCATGGAAAACCCTAAATTAAATACTAGCACATTGTAATCAAGTCAAAAGTATAATAAAAGAATACTACATGTGACCTCAAACAACTGGGCATTCACATACCAAATCACTCACACACAAATATTCACACACACTCAAACAGAAACAATCAGATAGGAACTTCCTGCGATCAAGCAGATAAACCCACCCACCCTCACATCCATCCTCGCCTTTCCCTTGCCAGTTTCCATTAGGAGCTGCTCCTGCAACTATTTAAGACTGAGCTCCACAACCAGGCTATGAATTTCACTCCCTGGCATCTTAGGACATTTCTTGATACTTTGCCTTTTGCTTTCATTCTGAACTTTCTCCTTGCCTTTTTTTGGTATGTGTATATTTATTTTATTTTATTTTACTTTTAACATCTTTATTGGAGTATAATTGCTTTACAATGTTGTGTTAGTTTCTGCCGTATAACAAAGTGAATCAGCTATATGTATACATATATCCCCATATCCTCTCCCTCTTGCGTCTCCCTCCCACCCACCCTATCCCACCCCTCTAGGTGGTCCCAAAGCACCGAGCTGATCTCCCTGTGCGATGCGGCTGCTTCCCACTATCTATTTTCAATTGGTAGTGTGTATATGTCCATGCCACTCTCTCACTTTGTCCCAGCTTACCCTTCCCCCTCCCCATGTCCTCAAGTCCATTTTCTACGTCTGTGTCTTTATTCCTGTCCTGCCCCTAGGTTCTTCAGATCCATTTTTTTTTTTAGATTCCATATATATGTGGTAGCATACAGTGTTTGCTTTTTTCTTTCTGACTTACTTCACTCTGTATGACAGACTCTAGGACCATCCACCTCACTACAAATAACTCAGTTGCGTTTCTTTTTATGGCTGAGTAATATTCCATTGTACACGTGCCACATTTTCTTTATCCATTCATCTGTCGATGGACACTTAGGTTGCTTCCATGTCCTGGCTATAGTAAATAGAGCTGCAGTGAACATCATGGTACATGACTCTTTTTGAATACCCTGGTTTTCTCAGGGTATATGCCCAGTAGTGGGATTACTGGGTCATATGGTAGTTCCATTTTTAGTTTTTTAAGGAACCTCCATACTGTTCTCCATAGTGGCTGTATCAGTTTACATTCCCACCAACAGTGCAAGAGGGTTCCCTTTTCTCCACACCCTCTCCAGCATTTATTGTTTGTAGATATTTTGGTGATGGCCATTCTGACCGGTGTGAGGTGACACATTGTAGTTTGATTTGCATTTCTCTAATGATTAGTGATGTTGAGCATCCTTCCATGTGTTTTCTGGAAATCTGTATGTCTGCTTTGGAGAAATGTCTATCTAGGTCTTCTGCCCATTTTTGG